CTTCTGTGCTTGGGTGAATTATTACCTACTTTGATAGTCTGCTCTATGCAGTTGCTTTATGCTTCTTTATGCATTCTTTAGATTGACACCCACACCTTATTTTTTTTTTTTAGTCTGAGAGCTTGATATAAGGCTACCCCACCTTGCAATGGTGGCATCAGTTAATTTATATTAGCTGTCACTAGGTACATGCCACAGGTTCACTTGGACATTGACTGCACCTGAGTTTTTGGGTTCCCATGGTGTTCAGGAGAATATTTTTGTAAAAATAAAAAACATAGTTGCCAATGCCCAGTACCTGAATCAAGATTAATTTCACTGCAGATTTAAAAGGAACAAAGCATTTCAATGTTTTCTCTTTATATTTACAGTTGTGCACAAAAGTTTGCATACCCTATAAGAAATTGTGACATTTTAGCATTGATATTGAAAAAATGACTAATCATGCCAAAAAACTGTCTTTTATTTAGGGATAGTGATCATAGGAAGTCATTTATTATCACATAATTGTTTGGCTCCTTTTGAAACCATAATGATAACAGAAATCACCCAAGTGGCCATGATCAAAAGTTTACATACCCTAGAATGTTTGGCCTTGGCACAGACATACAAGGTACCACACACAGGTTAAAATGGCAAATTCATGGGTAATTTCCCACATCTGTGGCTTTTTAAATTGCAATTAATGTCTATGTATAAATAGTCAATGAGCTTGATAGCTCTCAAGTGGATGCACTGAGCAAACTAGATACTGAGCCATGGAGACACTAGATACTGAGCCAGCAGAAAAGAACTGTCAAAAGACCTGCATAACAAGGTAATGGAACTTTAAAAAGATGGAAAAGGATATAAAAAGATATCTAAAGCATTGAATGTGTCAGACAGTAATGTTCAATTGCTTATTAAAAAGTGAAACATTTGGGGATCTCTTGATACCAAGTCAAGGTCAGGCAGACCCTGATGAAGTCACGTGATGCATAATGAAATGCATAGGAATGGAAGCCAGGTGACTTAGTTTTTGGTCTGGACAGGAAATGTGCCATATTGGTGCTCCTTACATGCAATTTAAAGTGTGTGACTCTCTCACACACAGTGTTTTTTTGAGCAACTATATCAGTTGAAGTGATATTGATAAGAGACACATATTTGGAACCTGGGACAGCTGGAGCGGGGAAGACCACCTTAGATGCTGGCTGATTTGAGCATGTATGTTATATGGGTCAGACATTAAGGCGAGCGTGCATGCTGGGTGGTGGTGGAACACAGTGATACATCTAAATTGAAGAATCAGAGGTGTGAATGTGAAGCCCTGTTCTGTTCGGAATGTAGGCTATCTATTCACTTTTGGACTGAATTTATGAAGCATTTTGATGAACTGTTGGTTTTCTTTCTAATTTTACCGTATTTTTACACATTTGCCATTATTTTCACTCATTTGCTCTATGTACTAGTGGGGCAGCGGGTGTTTATTAAAAAAAAATGTTTGCATTATATTGACTTTTTAGTATGTGGTTATTTTGATCTCACTTCACTGATCATTTGGATGATTATTTACATCACCATTACTATTCTATTATTATACAGGTGTTAGTACATCTGTATTGGTTTTTTTGATTTTTAACTTTATCACGTTTTATCTGTTTATGCAATATTATGAGTGTATACCTTATCTTCTCTTAAGAGAAGATAAGGTATATGATTGTTTTTTAACTATTTTGTTTTGATGCATGTGTTAAGAGGGCTGTATGCTATTTACTGTTAAAAGTTTTTTTTAGCTGTGAGAAGTGCAGCCACAACTGCCAGAAGAATTGTTCACGATACAAAGAAAAACCCACAGAAGAACTACAGGGTGCTCTGAAAAAAAAGATGTGGTTGTTTTTAAGGAGAACAATACGACAATACTTGAACAAAAATAAGCTGCATGATCGAGCTGCCAAAAATAAGTCCTTTACTGTGCCAATGCTAGAAAAAAGCTCAGTTACAATATGCCCAACAACACCTTGACACGCCTCAAGGCCCCCCTTGTTAAAAGGGGCTTCCAGATTCCGATGAGACCCCCTGCTCGCAGACCCCCACAACCACCAGCCAGGGTTGTGGGGAAGAGGCCTTGTCCCCATCAACATGGGGACAAGGTGTTTTGGGGGGAGCCCCCCTGCCCCAAAGCACCCCTTCATGTTGAGGGCATGTTGCCTGGTATGGTTCAGGAGGGGAGGGCCGCTCGCTCGCCCCCCCCCCTTTCCTGACCTGCCAAGCTGCATGCTCGGATAAGGGTCTGTTATGGATTTTGGGGGGACCCCAACACTATTTTTTTTTTAATTTTGGCGTGGGGGTTCCCCTCAAAATCCATACCAGACCCGAAGGGCTTGGTTTGGATGGGAGGAGGGACCCCACGCTGTTTTTTATTTATTATGGTGCTGGTTTTTTAATGTAACTACTCCGCTTTTTTTTCTTCACTATAGCTCAGAAATTCAGCTGCCACTTCTCCCAGCTGAAAGAAAGAAAGTTTTCCTTTAGTTTATTTCCCTGAGTTAAGAGAAACAATATTTCCTTTTAGCTTCTTAACAGAAACAAAGTTTCTGTTAACTCCTGGGAAAGTGACAGCTAATTCTGTGAGCTATAGTGAAGAAAAAAAAAGCCGGCAATTGCATTTTTAAAATTGGCACCAACATACACTTCGTATTGCGAAAAACATTTGTTAAAATTTTGTAAACCGAGGCATTATTTTCAATGGATTTTCATTCGTAAACCAAAAATTACGTTAACCGAGGCGTTTGTAAACAGAGGTATTACTGTATTGTCTGGATTTGGCCAGTAAAGTGGAAATTAACTCTTTCAATATACATTTACTATTTTTAATCCTTATGATGCTAGCATTAGTAAGTAGATAGGAACTTATATCATATTTACTTGTATAACACTATTTTTTCTGTATCTTTGGTTACTTCCTGGTTTCTTGTCTAGGCAAATTATGTCATACATCCCAGGAGTCTTATGGAGTGGAGGGGGGGGGGGTATACTTAGCTAAGCATGCCCTCCTGTTTGTATGCCTAAACTAAAGGCAGATGGTTTCCAGGAAGTCAATACTACATGAATCATATGCCGTTACTCAAGATGGCCACAGTCAAAAATGCTAGGAAGGTGTTTTTCAAAGAGATTTCTCAGCAAAGTAAAGTATGTAGGCATGGATGGATGGGGGGTTGCTTTGAATATTAAACATGAATTAAATAGCATTTTTGATTTGTGGTGGCCAGATGCAGTGTACTGCTTTAATATAAATTTTGCTAGTAATAGGCTGTTCTCTGAACAGCAACCATTGAGTAATGTAAATACACATGCACAGGCCTGGACTGGGACAAAAAATAGGCCCAGGCATATTAGACTGAGCAGTGGGGTGGGGGGTTGGAGACAGTCGCGGGGGTGCTTGGTGACAGAATTTGGGATTCCAGGATGTGTGGATTCAATTACGGTACCTTTTTTTTTTTTAACTTAATCTAACAGACTAGGACCAAATTTAGGTCAGAGCTTCCATATGATGATGTTTTTTTTGTCTTACTTTTAACTCTGGTTTTGATGGTGGAGTCCTGGAAATAGTATGAAGCAGTACAAGATGTAGGTTTCTCTAATCCAGCGGTAGGCAAAAGTTTTCAAAGGAATTAAGAGTGCTAGCTACCAGGGGCGGACTGACAACTCATGGGGCCCCCGGGAAATAAGAGATAATGGGGACTCCTGTGTTTCTGCTTACACTCCATCCTTAGCCACACCCACACAACACCTCACCTACATATTGCTGCTCATCTGCATAGAAAGGGCATTAAAAATAATTAAAAAAATAATAAAACAACGTCGTGGGGTCCCCCCTCCATTCATACCAAGCCCTTTGGGTCTGGTATGGGTTTTGAGGGGAACCCCCACTCCAAAATTTAAAAAAAATGGTGTGGGGTCCCCCCAAGATCCATACCAGACCCTTATCTGAACATGCAGCCTGGCAGATCAGGGAAGGGGGGGATGAGCAAGAGCCCCCCCCCCCGAATCATGCGAGGCCACATGTCATCAACTTGAATAATAAGAAGAAATCAACTAAGCTTTGCACCTTCACACCTCAGATCACCCCAATGCCTGCACCTTCACACCTCAGATCAACCCAATGCCTGCACCTTCACACCTCAGATCAGCCCCAAATTCCTGCACCTTGACACTTCTGATCAGCTCCAATTTTTGCAACTTCACCCTTAAGATCAGCCCCAATTCCTGCAACTTCACACCTCAGATCAGCCCCAACTCCTGCACCTTCACACCTCAGATCACCCTAATGCCTTCACCTTCTGTCAGGGCAGGAGCCGAGGAACGGACAGGCAGGCCTAACAATGTAACGCACTGGCTGACGACAACCACCACCCACAGACCGAAGTCCCTCAGGGGGCGGAGTCTAAGTCCCAGGCTGCCCTTCACCAGGGCCCCTGATGGTGGGGATGGACTTGACGCAGCCAGGAACCAGGTCGCGGCCCCCGAGACACCTCAGCTGCGGTAATGGCCGCCGCCAATGGCGTGTAGCTGGTGGAAGAAACAAAAGAGTAGTCAGACAAGCCGGGGTCAACAACAACAGGACAAAACAGTACAGGACAGCAGACGAGAATCACAGGTCACAAGCCGGGTTCAGCAACAGAGGGTCAGATCAAAGGAGAATACAAAGAATAGTCAAGTCACAAGCCGAATCAGAATACCAGGAGAGTCACAAGAGTCAGAACAGAGTAATAGTAACACAAAGACACAAGACACAAGTGCAAAGAGCATGTGCGGGCCACAGGCTTATATGTCATCAGCCACGCCCCTCTGGCGGGTGGACCTCAGAGACCTGAAGGCATAAAAAGGATTCCCATCATGCACAGCAGAATCCAAGATGGACGCCAGCACATGGAGTAACATAACCTCAGGGAAAAGGTAGGACCTTGACACCTTCACATCTCAGATCAGCACCAATTCCTGCAACTTCACCCCTGAAATCAGCCCCAATTCCTGCACCTTCTCCCCTCAGATCAGCCCCAACTCCTGCACCTTCACACCTCAGATCACCCCAATTCCTGCACCTTCACCCCTCAGATCAGCCCCAACTCCTGTATCTTCATACCTCAGATCACCCCAATTCCTGTACCTTCACACCTCAGATCAACCCCAATTCCTGCACCTTCACACCTCAGATTAGCTCCAATTCCTGCACTTTCACACCTCAGATTAGCTCCAATTCCTGCAACTTCACCCCTGAAATCAGTCTCAATTCCTACACCTTCACCCTCAGATCAGTCCCAACTCCTGCCCTTCACACCTCAGATCAGTCCCAATTCCTGCCCTTCCCCTTCACACCTCAGATCACCCTCAGATCACCCCAATTCCTGCACCTTCCCACCTCAGATCATCCCAACTCCTGCACCTTCACACCTCAGATCACCCCAATTCCTGCACCTTCCCACCTCAGATCATCCCCAACTCCTGCACCTTCACACCTCAGATCACCCCAATTCCTGCACCTTCACACCTCAGATCAGCCCCAATTCCTGCACTTTCACACCTCAGATCAGCCCTACTTCCTGCGCCTTCACACCTCAGATCAGCCCCAATTCCTGCACCTTCACAACTCAGATCAGCCCTAATTCCTGCGCCTTCGCACCTCAGATCACCCCAATTCCTGCACCTTCACCCCTCAGATTAGCTCCAATTCTTGCACCTTCACACCTCAGATCACCCCAATTCCTGTACCTTCACCCCTCAGATCAGACAAAACTCCTGCACCGTCACACCTCAGATCACCCCATAATTCCTGCACCTTCTGAACACACAAAAAAACAATGCAGCTAGCCGCTCACAGATACAAAACAGCAGTAGGAATTAGCAGATTCCTGCCCCTGCTACTTGCATTGTGCCTAAATGCTCATGCAAATGTAGCCTTAGGACAGGGTTTAGGAGCTACTACTTTAGAAAAGGTTGTGGAAACTAGTTACCAAACCGTTATAAAGTGCAGTTCCCTTTCAAAACTTCCAAAGTAGCAGTTACAAAGGCCGTTATAAAGTGTGACTCACAAGAAAACCTCCTTTATAACTGGCTCTGTGAGTAATGCTTAGTAACTGGCTTTGTGAGTACTGCAAATCCAGTTATAAAGCATTACTCACAAAGGCAGACATAAAGGAGTTTTGCTTAATATCTGGCTTTGTGAGTAATGCTCATTAACTGGCTTTGTGACTTCTGAAAAGTCAATCGTAAAGTATTACTCACAAAGCCAGATATTAAGCATTACTCACAAAGCCAATTATTATACAAGCCTCCTTTATGTCTGGCTTTGTGAGTAATGCTTAACACACTGACTCTGTGAGTAATGCTTTCTAACTGGCGTTGTCAGTACTGCAAAGCCAGTTATAAAGCATCACTTACAGAGCCAGTTATAAAGGAGTATTGCTTTGTAACTGGCTTTTGAGTAATACTTTTAGTAGTGCTTACAAAGCCTGTTAAATACTTCATCTACAGTCAACTTTTCTGGGTAGAATGGTCTCCCCTTCAGCTTGAGCCAGGCACACTGCTACTGAGGGAGAGGAGTGCCCAGAGACAGAAGGTGCACACTGATTAGAAAAGCCTGGTAATGAGCCAGCTAATTAGAAGACTGCAGTTACAGAGGAGAAAAAAAAGTGCATAATTACCATTAAAAAAAGGAGTATCTGGCCCTGGAGAATCAGATCTGACCCCTTCATCTGCTTGAAAAGAAGTGGGCGGGAAGAGAGGAGGGCATACAGGAACTGCAATTCTTTTTCTATATGCAGCTGCAGCTCCTCACCCTCTTTCATGTGTCAGAGGTGGGTCTGAAACCTGCCTCCCGCACATGAAAGCCAGCAAGGCTCTGCAGTTGCATATTGAAAAGGTGGTGGTGCAGAAGGCCTTGGCTTCTCCGTCCCTCCTTCACTCCTGGCATTCTGCTTGCCAGACGACCGGCTGCTACAGGTGTATGCACAAACCGGGACTTTCAGTTCATCAGCAGCCTAGGTTGTCATGGAGTGGCTTGGTGGGTGGGGGAATGGAGAGACTCTTTCCGCTCCTTCCATCACCACTGAGCATATGCGGCAAGTGTTGGCAGTGCATGCCCAGATGGCACATCAACATGCGGCCAGCCCTGCATGTCACAGACAGCTCTCGTTAAGACATGAAGCCCACTGGCCCCGTCCTTCTGGGCAAACACCCAGTGCCCTATGGCTAGTCCAGGCTTGCGCATGCATAGTATTCTCTACAGTAATTAGTAGTCCTTCAGTGCTCACCAGAAAACAAAATGAATGAATCTTATTGTAAAGGCTATAAAAATGATATCACATCTCAATCCACTTTTGCTACTTAGGAGTGATTGCAACATTAAAGGAAGATTACAAACACATTTTTGTCTTATGAGCCAGGTTCTTAGGAGTAAACGTTAAAGTGATACTAAAGAAGTGTTAATTGCCGTAATTCCTTCACATAAATCATATACATTATATCATTCAACTGCATTTTGGTTTTTTTTTTTAATCCTCCAGGTACCTTATTCCTGCATCGCTGTCACATGATCTTTCCCTGTTCCTTGGCATCTGCAGGAAAAGATCCTTGAAAGGGGCTTCTATTACTCTTCTGCAGCGTTGTCACATGATTTTTCCCTGTTCCTTGGCATCTGCAGGAAAAGATCCTTGAAAGAGGCTTCTATTACTCTTCTGCAGCGCTGTCACATGATCTTTCCCTGTTCCTTGGCATCTGCAGGAAAAGATCTTTGAAAGGGGCTTCTATTACTCTTCTTATGTATGCTCTCTACATTGTGAAGCTGTGTCTAATTGGTGCTGTGCCAGTCACATGACTAAAGAAAGTTTCAAAAGAGCATGCAAATTAAATTATATATATATCAACCTGTTTTATTGTTCCCTATAAATCTTTATTGAACATCAGTAGTGCATTTGCATGCATTAATATGGTGTAGGCAGATGACTGACACAAGTAGTTTTTTTTGTTCAGACGACATCTGCATTCAAGGCTCTTTTCTTTTACCTTACAGGTAATAGCAACTACATTTGATCTATTTATTACTGATTTATATTACAACTAAGCTTTTCTGTGAGTTTTTTAATCAATGTAGCCAATCAGCATACTATATCCTGTCCCCATAGTTTTAGCAATAAGAGGACATGGAGGAGGCGGGAGGGGAGTGTCATTTACTACTGTGTATAGGCCCATATATGTGACTGTATAGATGTGAAATATATATATATATGAAAAAGGAGGAAATGAAGAGCTTAGAAGGGAACTGAAATTGAGCACACTCAATATAGGACACCACCGGCTGGTCTACACAATCTCATACTGCAGTGGGAGAAGATGGGAGGGACAGCTACAGACAGGATTAGACAACACAGATGCTTTGGTGGTTTTGTGAGTATGCACACTCTGTTATATAGCATGTAATGAGATATTTTCTGTATAGTCTGGGTTTGGTGACACTTTAAAATACCATTTCAATTATTAAACATAATACACATTAAAACATGGTAGAAGCCACATGTTCCCAATGTCCCCTTTTGTGTAAACAATATATAACCTGCAGTCCAGTGAACTAACCTACAAAATAAAATTCACCAATAGCTGCATCTCTGTGTGTACTCAGCGTACTCCCAGCCTTCCAGCAAGCCTCCATGTGATCCCCTGTTAGGAGACCACCAGCACTATGTGATGATGTGTGCTTCCAGGCCAAACCAGCCTCTGACAAGCCTCTCCTGCATTCTACTCCTCCAGGACACATATGAAAGCAAGAATAGTTTCAAACAGTTATGCAAAGAACAGTCCATGCAGCTGATACTGAGTCAGGGTGAGAAGGTTCACTAATCCAACTAACAATTGTGCAGGCACTATCACAGGGGGCATACACAGAATAAAATCACATCTCAACGTTTCACCGATGACCCTAGCTTTTTCAAGATATTGCCGTCCTCCTTAAAGGAATGTTTTTTAGAGCAGCTTCCATTTAAGCTGTTTTTGGATTTGATGTAAACACACATTAGAAGTCTTCAGCTACCCTGCAAAGGTGATATCCAAGTGTTGCTGCACCTTTAAAGAAGGAAAAGTTGCCTCCAAATGAGCATGTTTTCTGTTTGTGTGTTGCTATATACAGGAGTTGGACAAACCTATGGAAACACCAGGCGAAAGAACTAAATTGTTACCTAATATGGTGTTGGACCTCCTTTGGCATCCAAGACTGCCTGAATGTTCCTGGGAATTGACATATATAAGTCTTGGATAATGGAATCTGATACCAGTTGACCGTGTTGACTGTGCTTATGCTTATCAGACTATGTTTTCCCAGAAACTGTATATGCCGTCATAATCTTTGATACTGTATTTCACAACACTGCAAATAAATTGTCAACTTCAGTCAAAGAGGCACATGCAGTGAATGACGAAAGTGAAGCTTACCACCAGTTAGCTAGGTGTCTCATCACACAGCGGAAGCAAAAGAATATGAGGAAAGGGGGGAAAAGCTTGTTTTAAGGTCCCCCTTTCCCTAATGGGACAGTGGCAGTAAGAGTTTCAAGCCTCCCATTGACTGATTTTAATGGTGGGTTTTGTGCTAGGTAAAAAAAGGTCAGCTAATTGGGAATGTTCTGGAAGTTCTGGGGGGTCCTCTAGGATAGGTCATTTAACGTCACCTGACCCCCCAGATCATTATTTATTTATTATTTATTTATTTATCGTGTTTATATAGCGCCAAAGGGTTTGCTCAGCGCTGTACAATAGGGGGGGACAATACATGAAACAGAACAGTAACATCAAACAGTACACAAGGGGTTAGAGGGCCCTACTCTTTCGAGCTTACAATCTAGGAGGGAGGGGGTAGAGGCACCGGAGGAAGCGGCTGTGGGGGATGAAGTGGTAGGAGGAGGGAAGGGCAGCGGCTGTTAGGTGAGGGTGGGGTAGGCTTCCCTGAAGAGGTGGGTTTTCAGGGAGCGCCTGAAGGTGAGGAGGGACGGTGACAGTCTGATGGATTGGGGTAGTGAGTTCCAGAGGATGGGGGAGGACCTGGAGAAGTCTTGCAGTCGTGCGTGGGAGGAGGAGACCAGGGAGCAAGATAGAAGAAGGTCCTGTGAAGAGCGAAGGGTACGGGTAGGGTGGTACCTGGGGATCAGATCGGTGAGGTAGTTAGGGGCAGTGTTGTGAATGGCCTTATAGGTCAGGGTGAGCAATTTGAATTTAATGCGTTGGGCAATGGGGAGCCAGTGGAGGGAGAGGCAGAGGGGGGTGGCAGAGGTGGAGCGGCTGGTGAGGTGGATGAGTCTGGCCGCTGAGTTCAGGATGGTCTGAAGCGGGGAGAGCCTGCACTGGGGTAGGCCGGTGAGGAGGGAGTTGCAGTAGTCCAGGCGTGAGATAATCAGGGAGTGTACTAGTAGTTTAGTGGTGTCTGGGGTAAGGAAGGAACGTATCCTGGCGATGTTCCGGAGGTGGAGCCTGCATGTGTTTGTGAGAGATTTGATATGAGGTTGAAAGGAAAGGTTTGAGTCCAGAATGACGCCAAGGACCTTGGCTTGCTGGGCGGGATTGATGGTGGTGTTGTTGGTAGTGATGGAAAGGATGGGGGGGGGGGCGCGGGC